AGCACTTTATACAAACCAATACAGAAGCAGCCTGCAGAGTACCCGGCATCAATCCACCCCTTCAAGATGTTTGCATACTCACTGCAGCAGTAATTATTGTGAATGTTTCATCCCTATTTATAGAATATGTCTGATTTAATGCCTCCATTACTATCCAAACTTGCTGTTAAAGCAATAAATGGAACCCAGCAATTGCAGACAGAACTGAGAAATATTTTGCTGCCATCAATAGTCCCACTGACAAAGAAGGCAAAAGGGAAGCACACGCACACTACATGGAAATATAAATCTCTGGGGAAGAGAAAGCACAAGTAGTGCTTACCGCAGCAGCTCCTATTCTTCATTCACAACAAAAGCAGTGAAGGCAACCAGGGACAGAATTCCATACATGAAACAGCTCTCCAAATGCCCTTTTTTTTTTTTTGCAATGACCAGAACAAGGAAAAGAAAAAAAAAATATGCATTGGGAAGATTTCTGAGAATCTAGGTGGTTTATATATTGACTTTTAAAAATAGATATATTTGTATGTTGCCCAAAAACATTGCTATACAGGAATTAGGAGTGACAGGTAGGATACTCCAGATGTTTTATACTACAGCTTCTATTGTTTCCACCCAATGCAGCTAACAAACCTGTTTATTAAGTACAGCAGAAGCTATATAGTCTGACATCTCAGCACCTACTGACTGGGGAAGGCTCTTTCAGAACAGGCCTGTATAATGAAAAACTACCACCAAGGTCTGTCTTTATCCAACAATACTAGGCTAAGAATCATACCTCAAACTAAAAGCAATGCACCTCCAGAGGTGTGTCTACAAACAAATACTCTGCCTCCAGATTACCAATGGCAAATAGAAAAAAACAATAAGATGTCTACTTCTGAACATGCAAACTATAACCAGATTGTTTTCTTCACCCAGGCAGTTAATCTTTAGCTGTTCTAAAGACCAAAGAAGTTGTTGCTACAAAAAGTGTAACAATAAATCCTTCTTGCAAAGCAATATTAGTGTACACCATCTGAAGCAGAGAAAAGATGGGATAGTAACTGTTAGATCTCAGAAAATGAAAAAAGGAAATGTGCCGTGTGATCAGTGTATTCAGTAATATCAAAGTCACATTGGGCACCATTTACAAGTGAATGCATAACTCTTAATGAGATTGGCAATGCATATCTTTTTTTCTTTAAAAAAAGCCTTTTATGAGTCTTAAAATAAGCTCATAGACATGAAAGGAAAATGAGGAATCAAAGACAAAGCCAGCAAGTAGATCAAAAGCAATCAAGCCACACCCAAATGCCCACTCAGATCAATAATAAAATTGCAAATTGTAGCAGTTCTCAAATAAATGATGCTGAAACCCAATATATCACTGATATCTCTAAGAGGAAGTTTCCTACTTAGTTGGAAAAAGGAGACACTTTCCTACAGGCAAGACAGTGCATGAAAAATAGTTTGACCTGTAAAAAATGTCACAAAAACTCTGCTGCATATTTTTCATATATGGTTGTATCTTTAATATGTAGCTATTAAGATGTGTTGTTTAGTACAAGTGTGCATAAGATTCCAGCCTGAATTAATAAAGGTGACATATTGTCTTCCAATTAGCCAGAACTCAGATATTTAAATCTGTATCTTCCTACTACAGAATCAAAACTAAGACCATCATATCCTTACATTAAAACAAACACACACACCTAGAGTGAAGATACTTTAATCATAATTAAACATAATCCATACACCTATAGCAAACAAAGTTGCAAAAAGTACAGAGTATGGAACTCGATAAAAAGGGAAGGTAACTAAAGAAATGGGATTTAAAAAGACATGCCTGCCTTTAATCTTTCATCGTATGCTGTAATAAATGTGGGTGAATGCTTAGAAAGTATACAGCAAGGAAAATGTTTTAAATGTATATTTCAACCCATATTACATAATAAAAAACAAATGTTTTGTAAAAAATAAATGTTAAAGGAGGAACTTCAGAGTGTTTGCCTATGATAATCAAACATATATTTCTCAGGAATCCACAGAACTATCACCAGAATCCAGATTTTGATGTATGATTGTATTGAAGAAACCAACAGGAAAAAGAATATAAGGCAATTATGTTCTCAACATTACTCTCAATATTCTTTATTTAATCACTGATGCAAGCTAAACTTCTGAAAATCAGCAGGCCTTGTGTTAATGTGTTATGCTGAAACAAGGATCAAAGTACAACTTCAGTTCAGCAATAATACCACAGCTAATTTCCTGCACACATATATGCACATACATACCTAGCATATTAGCACTGATGATGTTATTTAGTTTGAATAATGAAATGTTTGCAAGAAAACAACCAAGCTCAGAAACACCCTAGAATTAATATTTTCCTTTACTCTATTTACATGCTTTTCTTTACTCTTTTTACATAAACTTCAGGCATTCTAAAACACATCCACAATTCACAAGTCATTTTCCACCTGGCCGCTTTTCATGATAGCTGATGTCAGTGACTCAATTCCCTTGCTGATCTTTTGTAGGTTTCATTCATTCTTTTTTTCCTCTATATCATGAATTGCATCAATAAGAGGTATTTTTTAAAGAAACTTCTTGCACAATATCCATAAAAAAATAAAAAACATTTACAGGAGAAATAATTGAGAATACATTCACAAATACATGCTACAGAAAATTCTAATTTCTGTCTGAGGGTTCAGAGATTTAGGTCTCTCCAATAAAATAAATGGAGATCATCTAGAGTTCAATAAGCTCCTAGATACAAGATGGAGCCTCTGGTGCTTCAAATAACAAAATGCAACAGGAAGGGAGGAAGGCATGAATTGCCATTTGCTAAGCAACTTACCATTTTCTTTCTTCCCACAGCACAAGCCTCCAAATGTGTTCTCTCATGTAACACAGTGAGTAATCTTACTAGAGCTCATCTGGTGGTATTGCCTCCATCAACTCACATATCAAAGCAAGATTTCCAACTGTATCTCTGCTTTATATGGAACAGAGGCTGAAGCAAAGGAGTCAGCAATTTTTGTTTTAGTGGACAGCAAATAACAGGAGCTGGCACTTTTCCTGTCCTCTCTTCCTTCCGTAATTCTACAAAAATCAGAACCTTAATTATCACCAACAGACCCTGGCTTCTACATCACTAGAGCAAATCATTAAAAGAAATAATTCTATGCATATGTATAACGAGAAATATTAAGTACAATAGAATTTTTCTCACAAGGGTCCCTAGGATTTCAATTTAAGGCTGCAATCTTATTGAAAAGAACATGAATTCAACAGGGAATTACATCAGAATAAGCAATCTTAGGTTATCTTAATGTTACTCTAATCTTCATTAATCTTAAGTGTTCCTCCTTTATCCAAGCAAGCTTTTCCTTTAAGGATTTTACAACCAAAAGAGCCTCCCAGGGCTGTTAATATTTAACACACATTACAACTGGTGTTATAGCCAAGCTCTGTCAGAGGAGGGTGACCATTTAAAGGGACCACACAATTTCTCAGAATTAACCGTAGCTATCCATCAAAAAGTATACAAACGTCCAACTAAAAACATCCAACCTTAGAAAAAACGTGTTCGGTTCCAAAAATGGGATGATTAATCGAGAAGGGGGCTGAAAGCTTTGGGACAGATCACAGCTGCCCACCGCGACCACCAAAGTGCCTGAAATTTGGGCGTGGCAGCCAGTTCACATCTCTCCCTCTCTCAGCTACAGAAAACGAGGAATTCGCTTCCAACGCGAACAAACCTGGAAGCCACCCGCCGCTCAACACCTGCCCGACTATCCCAAAACACAAGGAAGAGATACATGCCTCTCTTTTCTTCGGCTCAACGAAAAGCTGTAAGCTCACATCTTAAGCAAAGTCAAGCCCTGGAGAAACCGCGGGACTCTTTACAACCTTTTTTCACGCATCAGCATCAAACCTCTCTCTCCTCATCGACTTCACGCTCTTGAGTTGTCAAGACCGGCCTCGCATCAAACACGGGAGAAAGGGAGGTTTTCTTTGGGGTTGTTGTTTTTTTTCCGTTTCTTTTTGAACAATGAAAATTGAGCACAGCTCCGCACCTTTCGAAGATTTGGAAAAGAAAAACTGTTGGGCAACCCCAGAGAAGATGCAGCTGCAGGAACAAGGCGCGATTTGCCCTCTGCACGACTTTCTTTCTGAGAGAAAACTCACTGAAGCCACCAAACAGCTGGCGCGCTTTCTCTCTCTCTCTCTCTCTCTCTCTCTCTTTCCAGGCCAATTTGCCTTTCGGCTACTCCAACCCCTGCCTAAAAAGCCTCCAGGTTTAGAGGCTGGAAAAACACGAATTCGAACCGGGAGGAGGAGAGAAAGACAGCGTTTCGATTGTCAAGGAACCGGGACGGTGGGGGGGAGGGGGGAGGAGAGAGAAGTTCAAGCAGACTTTAAAAACAAAAGGTACTAAGGATCAACAGGGCTCAAGCAAACACCTGAATTGTCTGGCCGCGATTCCCTTTTTTCCCCCCACCCCCACCCACATTTCTAACAACCGGCAGCCAATGGAGGCCGGAGACGCGAGGGGAGCAAGAGCGCTGATTCGCCGCCCGGAGGAAAGAAAGAAACACACCCCTCTCTCGGGGTAAAAGGGAGGAATATGCGGGGGGGGGGGGGGCGGCGCGCCAGGGGGAGGGGAGGGGGGAGGGGGGGGGGGGGGCGCGGGGCAGACCCCTCCCCCTTCTCCCGCGCCCTCCCCCCCTCTCGCCTTCCCCGTCCCCGCGCAGCCTGCGAACGCCGAACTCCACCGAGACCCCTCCACGTGATCTCGCAGCCTTGCGAGCTCCGGCGAGACAGCGGCGCCGCACGGTTGGGGCGTCTACCGAGTTTAGCCCCGTTGGACGCGGTGGGAAGGCGGTCGAAGTGAGAGGAAAAGGGGGAAAAGCCCCAAGGCAGGAGGTGTCACGGGGAAGGGGGGTTTTTTCCCTTCGGGTAGGGGCATGAGAGGGGAGGAATCGACGCCATGCATGGCTAACCTTTTTTCTCTTTCTGGTTTTGCCCCCTCCGGAGTCAAGACGTATCGCTGGCCGAGGAGAGGTTCATCTGGCGAGGACAATCAGAGGCTGCTCCCGAGCCTCCTTCCAATTAAAAATAAATAAATAAATTGCAAAAAGAAAATAAATGGAGGCGGGGTAGAACAATGCAGCGCCTTGCTTCCCTCGGGTTTCCCCCCCCACACACACACTGCTCTCTAGGCGTAAGGGGGCCAAAATAATAATAATAATCGTCCCCCTCCTCGGAAAGCGGTGGTGGGGAGGGGGGGAGAACAAATAGTAATAAGCTGCAGCAGCAGGGAGTGAGCTGGTAGGCGGGAGGGCTGGGAGCTCAGCGAGAGAGGCACGTCATGAGCAGCAGAACCAGCCTCCGAGGGAGAGGAGGAGGAGGAGGCGGGGGTGGTAGGAAAAGAAAAGGACCATCTATGAAACGAAACAGCCACTATGCGAGCTGCAACCGCCAGGCTCTAACGTGGTAGTGAGCCGCCTCCGTCAAGTAAGTCGCAGACAATCGCGGAGCAGCCCCACCTGTTTACAAACGAAGGGCATCCGAAGCTGCTCTGCCCAGCCCTTTCAGGTGGGATCCCAGGTGAAAAACAAGGAAGCGTCTGTCTATGCTGGGATCATAATTCGATTCCGGGCTAATCCGCATTGCTTCCTTTCGTAGTAGCCCTTTCTACCTTCCACTCAGAGAGATGGAAAGCTTGTAACCCCGCCCATAGCAACGCCCGTCTCATTGTTCCGTAAACCAAGGTGAGTGCGAGGCCACGCCCCGAAATCACACACCGTCCTTGGCTGCTGAACTCAATGTTGGATGGGAGGGGTGGTGTTTTTTTTTTGTTGTTTTTTAAAGGTGTTGCCAGCATGTGGGCGTCTCACAACGTTGCACCTCTGAGGTTCTATTCGGTTAACCATCCGGTCGTCATTGCTTTCCTATGGCTTTTCTCAACACGTGAAAATCCCCTATCATACGTCTGTAGAAATTATATGAAACCTCTTGAGTTGTTTCTCGTTTAAGGATATCCATTAGGACGACATCCATAATGTATGGAGATTGTGCCAGTTTAAACTCAACTGAAAGGGAATAGGTTTTCTTTCCAAAATGACAATTGCTGAAAGTTTACCAGAATAAAAAATGTGATCCTTGCAGCCATTCGAAGAATTTGCAGATGTAGGTGTTATACTTTTTAAAATAGTTTGTGTTGTGTCTGCTTAAAGGTAACAATAGTGATTAGTGGACATGAATATAAATGCATACTGAAACATTGCCAATACATTTCTTTATCTTTCAAAATGGGTAGAAGCACATTCCAGGTTTAGAGATACAATAGGGGTGAAATGGGTGTTGTTTTTAAACGGAGCTCAGTCTAGAAGGGGAAAGTATTTCACTCAGAAAATACAATCATACCATACAAATGTCAATGGTCTCCATAGCATCCTTAGAAATGCTGGTAAAGAGCAAAGGCAACTGAAGAGTGTGGGCAACTGACAGCTGTGTGACAGAGCTATGGCCATGACATTAATTCAGGCCATGTTTATGTGACATATGCACTTATGATTAAATAAATCATAGTTTCTCCTTGGTTTTCCCACTTGTCTGGGATAACAATGACATGCTGAACTATGCAATAATCAAACAGACTGGATTTGCATAGCTAAAACATAATTTAGTTGTTTGTGTCCTGTGTGTCATGCAAACACAGTCTCTACCACAAAGGCAAAGAATTGGGTAACAGCCAGGAGCATGACTATGGAACACTCCTTGTCATACATGCATGGGGTGGGGGGGTCAAATTCTTCCTATGGGCGATGCTTCTTCACATCTTGCCCAAATGGAAGAGAAAAAAAGATAGCCTTGAGTTAGACTCTGCAGAACAGTCAGAAATAGCTTGGACGGCCATTAATTCAAATTCACATTGGATCTGAAACCATTTTCCTTTCTCAAAAAGATGAAAAGGGAAGGCATGCTTGGCCCCTATAAAAACAGATCTGAAATACTGCTTGGAATCAAAGTATTGCCTATGCCTATTCTCAGGTATAGATTGAGAAGGTCTACAACAACATGCAAGGAGCTTTGATCTTTAATCATCAAAGTCTCCAGTAGCCCACGGCTTGGAATACAAAGAAACTCTGCTCAAAGGATATAGTGAATGCTTTGACCCTTTGAATGTAAGACCCTTTGAATTTTCCCTTACTGCTGAGGAAGAGTACAGCTTGTGTAGCTACAAGGTATTTATTTACATAGCTTGAATCTATATTTACAACATAGGATTCCAATAGGCCTTCAAAACAGCCCTCATTTGTATACACTAATCAGAATGTTGTAATTTTGATTAGTGCTATGTTCTCTTATCTATCTCCTGCCTTTATTTTATATAAATAACTCAAAGCCGCAAACATGCATAGTACTGCTCTCTTCTCCTATTTTCCCCACAACAACCTCAGGTGGGTTGGGCTGAGTGAGTGACTGGCCCAAAATCACCCAATCAGCTTTCATGCTTAAGGTAGGATTAGAACTCACAGCTTCGTGGTTTCCAGGCTAGCATTTTAATCACTATGCCAAACCGGGTCTCTTTTGCATTAATTTGAATTCATTTTCATGTATGGCATTTTATTTTTCTTTCAAAGAAAACTTTCAGAGTGAACATATTTGTGTGTTTAAGAAACACTATTCAAGCATTTCATATTTTTATAAGTTATATAGCAAACAATCTTAAACCCAACAAAAGAACAAGCTAGAACTGCGGTGCCATGCTCTAATGAGGAAAAGATAGCCATACATATGCAACATCATTACATATATTATAGTTGGCAAGTAATGCAACTGAGTTGAGGTCTCAATCTTCCTTTTGCCTCAGGCTCTTGGTAAACAGGTTGCAGCTAGTGCCACTGCGCTGGGGGGAATATTGTTAATGTTTCCAGCAACAAAAATGAGCTTCTGAAAGATGAGTTTAGAAAAATCTAGGTTCTATATGAGAGTAATGTAAGGTATAAAGCTGAGAATTTTTCCTACCACTAAAGCTTCATGATTGACAACTGAAAAAGGGTTGCCAAGAACAAAATACAGGAAAGAAATGATAGGGTAATGCAGATTATTTTCAGAAAAAAATATGCATGAATCATCAATCAAGAATTTTACTGGTTCACACTACACAGAACCATAAATATGGATTGTTATGATCATAACCAACAACTTTTACATCTCTAAGTACAAATTATCAGTTATTTCAACATGGCGGGCTTAAGCAAATCATGATAGTGTCATCTTGTTAACCAAATCTTTTTTTCTATTGGTGTTTAGTTATACTTCAAATCAGCTGTGTACACTAGGCAAAACAGGCAGAGTTTTGTATATGTAGGCATATGGATAATGCTGCTTCATATCTGGCATTTAAGGATAGAATCTGAATCTTTCAACCAGTAAAATATGAAAATGTTGTGATACCACTAAGTCTGATTTGAAAAAGGAATATTTAAAATGAATGACAATTTGGTCCTGATCTGAAAGTTGGGTCTGGAGTTGACGCTTATACTACAGCTTCTGACTTTATGTCTAACAAGGAACTATAAATTAACCAACCTGTACATTTTATATAAAGGTGAATGTAAAAGAAGGAGAACATTTGCAAATGTTAGATCTTAGTCCAAATTGAATTACAGTGGTACCTTGACACTCATCATTAAATTGGTTTCAGGAGATGCAATGAGTACCAAAAGTGATGAGTACCAAACAATTTTTTTCCTATAAGGAAAAATGTAGTGAGTCACAAGGCAGTGGATACCAACACCTAAGTTCTAACTTGTGCATTAAGTACCAAACAAACGCTGAGTATCGGGAGAAAATTTTCACATCAAAATGAATTGAATACCAAATTCAATGAGTTTCAAAGTAGTTGGGCGCCAAGCTACCACTGTAGATTTATGAGACAAAATGGTTATATCTGAACTGGGCCATTATCTTTTTAGGAACACTATTGTTTTTTAAGAATACTTCTAAAAATGCAAACCATGGAGATTATCAATATTTATCTTGAAAAGATACATGCATCAATGAATTGTGAAGGTTAGTTCTGCATACTGCAATATATAAAATGCACCTGTGTTCTGAGTCTATTGATTTAACCATTTTAAAAATGGGATCTATAAAGATACTTAATGAAAACCATCATTTCTACTGGCTAAACAATTTATTATTTGATAGAGCATCTTAAATATGTTTGTTGAGTAAAGCAGACAATGAATGGCAGCAACACATTAAATAACCTTTAATAAAGGAAGCCTGAATTAAAGCACAATTAAAAGCCATAATTTAAGTTCATCATCGGTGTATCTACTTACATAATTAATCTGATTATTATATAGCAATGACATGAATTTCATAGCTTGATAGGTAAGGTTTACATGTTTTTATCCCTAAATTATCTAAGGTTAGTGAATCAAGTATCATTAACAAATAAATATACAGGGAAATATTTGTCAATATGCAAAAAATACCCATAAATTCTCATTCAGCATTACATCAGTGCAACCATGTTTGCACTAAATTACTGTTTTGTACTTCTCTTCATTGGTCACAATAATATGGAAGTTGTTTATCAGTAAGAAAATGGAAACAGGCTAAACCAGCGGTCGCCAACCGATGGGCCATGAGAAAATTTTGGTGGGCCACAGAGAAATCTCACCCCCAGAGCACACCCCCAAAGCAATTAATCCAGGCTGCACAGAAACACAAGGCTGCGCCACCCACATGGCATGCAGAAACCCTCTCCGCTCACTCACTCCTTACCCGGTAAACCTGCCTGCTAAATTGCTGTTTTTCTTTTTTCCAACCATCATCTGTTCTGCTGTGGGAGATTTTGCTGTGCTGGGAGATTTAGATTAGCTAGGAAGCAGGAAATGGTTGGATTTCTTGCTTTCTAGCTACTCTTCAGATCTTTGGCTCTGCTTTTAAGCACAGCCAAACCCTCCCTTAGGACTGAAGGTTCTATTATTCAGTGCAGACTCACAACAAGAAAATTTGAGAGATGAGCTAGCCGATGGCAGGCAGATAGATCACTGAATGATTCTGTGAGCAACTCAATCTGCCTGCCTGCTTTGCCTGATTTTGGGTAAAAGTTGCTGTTTTTTTAAATAAAAAAATCAATATTTACATACATGGTGTGTTGTGAGTTAATTTTGTGAGTTTGCTTGCAAGTAAATTTTATGAGTTTGCTTGCAAACAAATTTTATGTGACAGACTGAGCTAGTCGATGGCAGATAGATAGATTTCTGAATGAATCTGTGATTCTGTGAGCAACTCAATCTGCCTGCCTGCTTTGCCTGATTTTGGGTAAAAGTTGCTCTTATCTTATAAAAAATTCAATATTTATATAAATATTTATAATATTTACATACGAGCCATGCCCAGCCAGTCACATGACCACCAAGTCACACCCACAAATTAGGCCATGCCCACAGAACCAGTTAGTGGTCCCTGGGATTTAAAATTATGAGTTTGGTGGTCCCT